CTCCTTAATGTTGTTGATACAGGCCTTTGAGTCAGTTCTGACTCGTAGTGACCCTGTTTGGGGTTTCCGAGGCTGTACATCTCACCATTCTCAATACTAAGCAGCATCTGGCTGTACTTCTTCCAAGACAGATCTGTTTGTTCTTCTGGCAGTCCATGGTACTTTCAATATTCTTCTCCAACACCACAACTCAAATTCATCAATTCTTCTCTAGTCTTCATTATTCATTGTCCAACTGTGAAATGTATATAAGGCAATAAAAAATAACCATGGCTTGGTCTTCAAACTGGCATCTTTAGCCTTGAACATTTCAGAGAAGTCTTATGCGTCAGATGTGCCTAATGCAATATGTCATTTGATTTGTTGTCTGCTGCTTCCATAAACAATGATTGTGGATCCAAGCAAACTAAAGTTCTTGACAACTTCAATCTTTTCTACATTTATCATAATGTTATTTATTGGTCCAGTTGTGAGGATTTTTGTTGCCTCTACATTCATGTACAATCCATACTGAAGGCTGTAGTCTTTGATATTCATTAGTAAGTATTTCAAGCCTTCTTTGCTTCCAGCAAGCAAGATTGTGTCATTGGCATTTGCAGGTTGTTAATGAGTCTTCCTCCAATCCTGATGCCATGTTCTTCATCACATAATCCAGTTTCTTGGATTATTTGTTCAGCGTACAGATTGAATAAGTGTGGCGAAAGGATACAACCCTGTGCACACCTTTCCTGAATTTAAACCATTAAGAATCCCCTTGTTCTGTTTTAACAACTGCCTCTTGGTTTATGTACAGGTTCCTTCCTCGTGAGCACAGTGAAGTGTTCTGGAATACCAATTCTTTTGCAGTGTTATCCATAGTCTCTCATGATAAGCACAGTCAAAAGCCTTTGCACAGTCAATAAAGCACAAGTAAACATCTTTCTGACATTCTCTACTTTCAACTAAGATCCATCAGAGATGAGAAATGATATCCCTCATTCCATGTCCTCTTCTGAATCTGGCTTGAATATCTGGCAGTTCCCTATTGATGCACTGTTGCAGCTGGTTTTTAATGATCTTCAGAATTTTGCTTGCATGTGAGATTAATGATATTGTTAGAAGTGAGATATGATGACACAAGTTTTAACCTGAGCAACCAGAAGAATGTAGTTACTATTAACTAGGATGAGGAAAGCTGTGAGAGCAATAGGTTTGGGGTAGAAATCGGGAGTCTTCTTTTGGCAATTTTAGGTTGCATTTACCTAGTAGACATCAGGTGTGTTGGAGATGTGCACTGAGGAGTTGGCAGTGTTGAAAGTCATGAGGCTGCAAAATCACCAAGGGGGTGACAGTAGATGAAGGAAGGAAACAGCCAAGGACTATGCCTTGGAGTCTCCAACATCTAGAAGTTGTATGGATGAGGAAAAAGCAATAAAGGAGTTAGAGAAAGAATGGACAAAGAAACCAAAGGAAAACTAAGAGAGTGGGGAGTTCTGAATACCACTGTTCTTCACCCAAAGCGGAGAACTAGGTTTAGCAAGATCGGGGGGACGGGGTCATTGATCATCTTGACACATCAGTGTAGAGTGGGATGGAATACCTGATTGGAATGGGCTCATGAGAGAATCAGAGGCCACAAGTACAAAGCTGAAGAGTTTTGCTATAAAGGGAGCCAAAAAATTGGGTTGAACTAAATCAGACATTTTAAACTCAAATGCCTTGAAGGGTTGGGTAGAAGATATAAATGAGAGGTTGTATATTATGAACTGATATGGTGCCGAATGTGGAGAAAAAGAGGAAATGATCTGCCTGGAGGTATTTCTGAATCTGACTCGAATTTCTGGTGATGTACTGCTGCAATAGTTTTTTAATTGTCTTCAGCAAAATTTTGCTTGCATGTATTATTAATGACACTGTTTGATGATTTCTGTCTTCTGCTGGGTCATCTTTCTTTCGAATGGGCACAAATATGGATCTCTTCCATTTTCTAGACGTAGACAAGTGAGTGCCTCCAGTGCTACATCAGTTTGTCGAAGCATTTCAAATTCCATCAATTCATGGAGCTTTTTTTCCTGCCAATGCCTTCCTCCAGTGCTCTTGGACTTTTTCCCTTCAATACCATTATTTCTTGATCATATGGTACCTCTTAAAATGACTGAATATCAATCAGTTCTTTTTATTATAGTGACTCTATGTATACCGTCCACCTTTTTTGGTGTTTCCCACATTATTCATTATTTCACCCATAGAATCCTTCCATATTGCAATATGAGGCTTGAATTTTTTTCTTCAGTTCTTTCAAATTGAGAATTGCTGAGTGTGTTCTTCCCTTTTGCTTTTCTAACTCCAGGTCTTTGCACATTTCATTATATTATACTTACCTTGTGTTCTCAGGTTACTCTTTGAAATTTTCTATTTAGCTCTTTTATTTCATCTTTTCTTCAATTGTTTTAGCTTCTGTATATTTAGGAGCAAGTTTCAGAGCCTCTTGTGACATACACTTTGGTCTTTTCTTTCTTTGCTGTCTTTTTAACGACCATTTCCTTTCTCCATGTATGATGTTCTTGATGTCATCCTACAACTCTTCTGGTCTTTGATTATTAGTGTCTAATGCATTAAATTTGTTCTTGAGATGACCTTTAGTTTCAGGTAAGAAATTATCAAAGTCATATGAGCAAATTCATCATCTGTTCCACACTCAGCATTGTTTTTGCTGATGATTTTGAAATTCCCCATCATTTCTTCACACAGATGTAGGAGTCCAGATATATGGTGTGTAGAAGTCCACTTATATGGTTGGTTGGTTATGTGCTTTGGAGTCAAGTTCCGACTCATAGCAACTCTGTATAGCAAGGCTGTAAATCTCTACAGGAGCAGAAAGACTTATCTTTCTCCCTTGGAACAGCTGGTAGTTTCAAACTGCTGACCCTGAGTTTAACAGCCCAACTTGTAACCACTTGGCTACCAGAGCTCTCTGTCCAGATGGATAGTCGCCCTTTATGTTATTGAAAAAGAGGTATTTGCAATGAATAAATCATTTGTCTTGCAAAATTCTATCATGCACTCTCCAGCATTGCTTCAATCATCAATGCCATATTTTCTAACTACAGATCTTTCTGTTTTGTTTCCAACATTTGCATTCCAGCCACCAGTAATTATCAGTACAGTTTGATAGCTTTTTTGATCAATTTCAGACTGAATAAATTGGTAGATTTTTTTCAATTAAGCATCATTGACTCTGGTGGCTGGTGTGTACATTTGAATTGTAGTGATATTAACTGTTCTTCCTTATGTTGTTGTTGTTAAGTATCATCGAGTCGGTACC